TCGGGAACGTTGGAAGCACTGTCTGACGTGTCTGCCTCCGCGACCCGAAAGGAGAAGCGGCGATGGAAGAAGATGATGATGATGATTTAAAGCTTGTTTGCTGTTGATAATTTCAGTAATTCATGTTAACCTTTCTTTAGTTTTTTGCTTTTTTCACTATATAAGAAAGTCTGCGACAAACTGCATAGAAAAAAACCGTGAGTCAAACGAGAATTGCTTTTATCAGTGTGACAGTGATATTTCTGATAATTTTATTTTACATAAACATCTTTTACACTATATGGATAAAAATTTAGACTAACCTGATAGTTTATTTTAGGGTTTCGTAATGGCGAAAGCTGAACTCGCGTGGTCTCCACATCGCGTTGACGAATTTTTACTTATCGGTGAAGCGATGCGTTTGTACAGGGTTACTGTTTGGAAAGAATCTGACTTGGAGACCCCCGTATTTTGGAAAATGTCTGATTCGACTGGCATAGAGCTGTTGAACAGCGTGAATGTTAGCTTTGCTAAGTGCTTCCAATGGCATCCAAAATCTGAATACTTCTACGTCGTAGCTCTCGGCCATGCGAACGGACGTGTGTTGCTAACATCTCCATATGGTGATGACGTTACAGAAGGTTTTAATTTACTTGGCTACGACTTTCTGCCCAAGCATTCTCGTCAGTGTTTATGTTTGGCGTGGAATCCGTCCCAGGCGCAGCTATTAGCGGCTGGCTTCGATCGGTATCGCTCAGAGTACTCGGTACTCATTTGGGATGTTTTCTCGCGACCAGCCTGCCCACCGACCGATCGCAGATATCAGCCAAATATTTCGGCTCAGTGGCAATACGGTGGCTCCGATTTCACGCGTATTCAAAGCGGCATGTCCGACTACGGTGCATTTCCGGCTTCTTCTCAGCATAGTCGAGCACTGTACGAATTCGGCCCTTCCGAAGCCGCTCATTCCCTTCTTTGGCAAGACAGCAACTCGAGGTTTGCTGAATTATCAACAGTTAATAAATGGCTTTTAGTTATTTGTAGCATTTTTCATCTTAAAGCGACTCATTGTTGAACAAAATTATGTATTCTTTGCCTATATAATATGATTATATGTATATAAATATAATCAACCTGTAAAGGCATGAAGTTGTTGCGATTTTGCGCAAACAACGGACAATCCATTATGAACACCTTATTCGAGCATAGAAGAGTGCATCAGTACACCTGGTACCTGGAAGCTTCTCCAAAGAAGTCGACGATCGATTTGATAATCGTATCGTCTGACTTAAGACGCTCAGTAATGGATTTTCGCGTTTAGAGAGGCGCAGAGCTATCAACCGATCATTACCTTGTTGTTGGCACGCTGCGCTGTAAGAAATGGAGTACAATACGAAGATC